GGTATATACTACTACTATGGTGCATGTGGTTGAGGGGGAAGGAAGTAAATAACCATTACAAAAAGAGGCATCTGATGGCCTTTCATTTAGTTGGACGGAGGATGAGGATGATGATGGGGGTGAAAAATAAGAAAAAGTTGTGGATAGTCATGAGGAGCATAATGCCCAAGACATAGCTAATGAAGAAGAAATGAGTAAGAATGAGGGAGGGTTTGGAGATGAGAAAGAGAGTGATACAGATGATAATATAGGAGAACAAGTAAATGATTCTGCAGAAGAAGAAACTCATAGTAAAGAAGAGGACAATTCTGAGAGTAAGGGTGAGGATCAAGAAAAAGTAAGTGAGAGTGAAGTAGTGGATGAAGAAAGTGAGGAGGAGAATGAGAATATGAGTGAGGAATCTTAAGGTTCTATGACCATTGGGAACAATTCCATAGCCCCTTTAGAAGAAACTGGTAAAGAGAAAAGGACTCAAGAATCTGGGACTTTGTTAACTCCTTTCACTGAAGATGAAGAGGTTAGCAGTGATGAAGATGACTTGCCATTGTCTGAGGTAAGGAAGAAACCCAGGAAGACTTCTTTGAAAGCAACAAAGTCAGCAGTCCCAACAAGGAAAGAAGTGGCTCATCCTGCTAGGACTCCTCTTATAAGGAGTAAAAGAAAGATTGTTGATGAACAAGTCATTAAGGAGTCAAGAAGTGCCAAGAAACCAAGGAAGAAAGTTTCAATTGTGGAACCTGTGGTTGAGCTGGATGGAGAAGATGAGTCTGAGTCTGCTTTGCCATCTAAGTCCTCTACATAAAAGAGAAAGGTTGTCAAAGCTACAAAAACTGCTACCCCTTCTGTAAGGGCCAGTAGAGGAAAGACAAGAAAGAATGTGCCAGCTGTAGTTGATAGACTCACAGAGTTGAGAAACAGAAAAGTGCTTAATGGGAAGATTCTTGCAAACACTGATGAGAAGGGGATATCTCAACTAGTAAAAAAACTTGAGCCACAGGGATGGAATCATATGTTTGTTAAAGCTTTCCCGCTTGTATGTGTTCCTGCTGTGGTGGAGTTCTATGCAAACTTCAAATTTGATGGGAAGGTAGTCAAAAGTAATGTTAGGGGGTTTGAAATGGAGTTTGATGCTGAGGAGTTGGGGATGCTTATGAATATTTCTTCTTTTGGATTTGACAATTACTTAAAGAAAAAGTGGCCAGCCATAGACAATGATGTTGACACTGGCATTGTGGTCACGAGAAAGTTCTCTCAAAAGTTTGAAATGGATGCTCCTTAGAAGGTGTACAAGACTGATATGACTCCCTGCCACAAGCTGTTGTTTCATTTTGTCAATTCCTGTATTCTTCAGAGGTATGAGAGAAGGCATGAAGCTACCCTATTGGACATGGCTGTAATGGAATTGCTTGACACTGGTAGACCTATCAATCTCCCTACCTTGATGATTTAGCATATGGCAAGAGCTGCAGACACTTCCAAGCCTAAGCATGCTATGCCTTATGGTTTCATGCTGACCGAGCTATTTGACAAGCTCAACATTGCCTTGCATGAGCATAAGTATGGAAATCACAATGATGTTTTGGATGTGTTACCCTCAAGCAGTGTGGCTATGAGGAGATCAAGGCAAGGGGACCTATATGATATGTTATTCTACTAGGGAGCAGCAGGGCTGCAATGCTCAGTAAGAGGTTGGAGTTTGAAGAGAATGCCAAGCTTCGTGAAGACAATGATAAGTTGAGAAAGGAAACCATGTAGCTTAAGGAAGAGCTTAGAAGAGATAGGGAAGTTCATCCCCAACAGATTGCCACTCTTGTGAAAGCATTGACCTCCTCTACCTCTCACCTATGAACATGTTCCTTCCCAGTGTCCTTAGTTTCTTTTTGCTATCCCAGTGATGCTTTAACTTTTTTTTCTTCCTTTTGTCTTAGTCTGAGTAGCTTGCGGTATGCTTAATTTATTTTGTTCTAATGGTTTAAGACAAGGCCTGGCCTTATTTTGGCACTACTAAATGTCTTTTCTTGTACTACTTTACTGTTTTGTACAATATTGGATCTTCAGCCTAGTCTGTTTGCCTTGATAATTCTTAAACTTATGCTGTAGCCTGTTTGGCCTTGAATCTTACATTATTTGTGCTTCATCTGTCTAACATTTTTTTTGTTTTTTTCGATGATGCCAAAATGTGGAAGATAAGGTTGGGGGTTGTGGGTTGTGAATATACATGTCTGTCAATAGTACTTATTATGATTACCTGGTTCTACTGTGTACAAAGTTTGTCATCATCAAAATGGGAGAATTTACTGAATATTAAGATTTTGATGATTAACAAAGTTTGTTTAAATGCAATGATTCACAGAACCAGGTCCTCAACGTAGCTGCTTAACTGTTCTAACAACCAACTCCTCAGGATAAAGGACCAGCTCCTCTGGTTGATGATTGTACGTATGTGCAAGACAGTAACTTTATCTCAAAGTTACCTAGGTCCGAATTTGGTGGAAGAAGGCTGCTACATGTGATAAGGGTTGTTGCTCAAGAAGATATGAATAATTCAGTCAGAGACAAGAGTCTCAAAGCTTGTGGAGTTCTTGGAACAGTAGGAGTCCTATCAAAAGAGAAGTTGACTATGAATAGGACTCTTAGAAGATCTCGAGTCGAGGTGTTTAAATAGTATCTATTTTGGACTTCTAATTTTATCCTCTTGCACATCAACTAAAGAATTATATGTTGTTTACTCTAGTCGAATACCAGTATTATATTCTTCTTGAGTCAGTCTAGCAAATGTGTTTTAGAAAATTGAGTGGTAATCAAGTGTCATAAATAATTATTGAGTTAGAGTGAGTGTTTGCTTTACAAGTTAGAGTAACTTGTAAATTAAATAATCGTAGTAAGAGTACTGGAGAGTATTGAATTATAGTGTTGTAATTGATATATTTTTGGCTCATTGTTCTAGTGGAGTTGAAGTTGAAAATCCTACGTTATAGGTCGTGGTTTTTGTACCTTTTGAGGCGGGTGATTTTCCACGTAAAAATCGTTGTATTTACTGTACTGCTTACTTTACTTCAAGTTTAAGGAGCACGGTAAAGAACCAAGCTTTTTAGTAAATCATACGTGCACTCAAACTAACAAATAGATAGATAGATTTCGATGCTTTTTAGTTGTGTGAAAAGGTTGGGTTTTGATGTTTCATGTCTGTATGCCATTGAGTCATTTTTATTCTTATCACCACCGTGATGAACATCAATATGATCGTCTTCATCAATTTCTTTAAATTGAAGATTAATCGTCTACAAACATTTTTTAGCAAAACTTCAAAAAGATTATTTATTTGGCTAGCTTATTGATATCTTCATTTGAAGCTTATAATTTTTTTTTGTTAACCAGGGAGGGAGTAGTCTATTATCTACTAAAATAGGAGCTAGTAGTAACTTTCTGAACTCAAATTTTAGAAGCGTCAATTTAAAAATAATATACTACATCTTGATTTCAAATTTTGTTTAGCATGAACTTTCTCTATATTTTTTGAGCCTCTAATTAAGAATGTTAGTAATATGTATATCGTATGTGCTTCAATTTTAATGTGTTTCTTGAGTCTTTCAATAGAAATTACAAGAAATTTCTTTCTCACTTAATAATTAGTACCTATATCTACCACTTCAATTTGATTTTCCTCCACTATGTATATTTATTTCGTTTTTATGCATCTAAAGATTTAATTTTTTTAATTTCAATCCAATATTCTTGAATTAGCTGTTTCTCTTAATTGTCTCATTTGATTCATATATCAAGAAATAAGTCCTTTTATCCCAGTAGTATAGGAATTTTATGAAATAAGTTGAAGGCTTCTCATTATAATTTTGCTTTAGGCTATGAATACCATTAAGTTGTCCCGAGTCCATCCCGTTTTGAATAAGTTCTTCAAATGGCAAGACGGATCACAATCATATTGGTGTTAGAAATGAAAATGAAGTTCTTCTTGAATTTTCAGATGGAAGTATGAAGAGAGATTAGAGAGAGATAGTCGGCTAGGTTTGCTGATGTTTGTTTTGTCTTTAAAGAAGGGATGTATATCTTACAAAATGGGTCAGACATTTGGACTCAATTCTAAATGGGCTTGGTTTTTTGCTTTGGACTTAGTTTTACAACAAATGGGCCTTAAAACTTCAGATGACTCCATCTGCCCATTTGTAGTAGAACCCAGAAGATACAAAGAATAATCTGCAAAGTGGATAGAATTATTCCTTTTATAAGTATTCCCTAGTTTGTTACAATAGCTATTAGGAGTAAGCTAGAAAAATACTGCCACTTGGCAAAGTTTTTTTAGACTAGATTCTATTCTTTTGTATATATACATTACACTGTGCAGAGAAATATACACATAGAAAATTTCCAAAATTATTCTCATTTCATTTTCTTCATGGTATCAGAGCAGGCTTAATCTGCTCCACCATTTCATGATCTTTTGCTTCTTTCTTCCTTTTTTTGCTTTCTTTTCTTCAGATATGAGTACCACTGGACAGACTCTAGATCCACTTGCATCAGCCACTTCCACAGTCGATCCTTCTGTGCCAACAACTTCAGTTATGAATGGAGTGGTTGATTCATCACATCCTTACTACCTTCATTCCTCGGATTATCCGGGGATGAATCTTGTGTCCACAGTTTTTGATGGAAGAAGCTATGTTGGATGGAGAAGAGCTGTAGTAATTGCTTTATCTGTAAAAAATAAACTGAATTTTATTGATGGAACTCTTACTTTTCCACAAGCTGATTCTGGACTTCAAAAGACTTGGGCAAGGTGTAATGACATGGTATTGTCATGGCTACTTAATTCTCTTTCTAAGGAGATAGCTGAGAGTGTTCTTTACTCTCAAAGTGCCAAGGACTTGTGGAGTGATTTGGAAGACATATTTGGACAAACAAATGGAGCTAAGCTATTTTAGCTACAAAAGGAACTCAGTGCTGTGGTACAAGGTAATTCTAGTATATCAACCTATTTTACTAAGATGAAAAGCTTATGGGATGAGCTTGATGCTTTGAACACCTTTTCTGCATGTGTTTGTGAATGTGAATGTGGTGCTAAGGTGAAGAATTTTAAGGCACATCAAGATGAAAGGTTGCCGTTTTTGATGGGTTTGAATGACATATTCATATGTGTTAGGAGCAATATATTATTGTCTTCACCATTACCTTCTATTGTACAAGCTTATTCACTTGTAATACATGATGAGAAGCAAAGGGATATCCATGCTACCCCTGTCTATCCAGGAGATTCTGGTTCTTTCCTTGCTACAGACATGCGGGGAAATGGAAGAAGATTCAATGAAAATAAGGGACAGAAGGGAGTTTGTGATCCTAGAAAGAATACTGGAATATGTGCTTACTGCAAGAAACCTGATGTCATGCCCCAAACTCGGGGAGCATGACCGGTGCTCAACCGAGAGAACCCGGCCGAGCAAGCCTATTAGATTTTCTTCTACCCAAACTCATCTATGAATAAAGAGGAGATGTACTCCATTAATCAATCACTGAAAAGATTTTTATTAACAACTTTCTTTTCACTCCCATTAGCAATTTCATTCATAATTTTCAAAATATTACGAGTTTATAGAATTAATGAAAAACATAAATTCCAAGTACTAACATTTCTAGTTCAATTCCCAACATCAACCATAACCCACAACCTGTCTACGGAGCCTCTAAGTACAATAAAAGAGTAATATGAAAATGCCAGCAACAAGGCCCCGGTTATACCTCAAAATACAGTATATGAGAAACAAAAGATACATGACCTCAAAATAAAGTGGGGCTCACCAAATCAGCTGAAAAGAGTGTACTGCTATCACCGATCAATGTCGCCTGCTGAAGAACCACCTGCATCCATTAAAGATGCAGCGCCCCCGGCAAAAGAGACGTTAGTACTGTCGAATAGCACTAGTATGTATAGCTAAAAATCCTCTTTCAAAATAAAATGCCCATATGAGAAAAGGCAACATATAGAAACAGCAAGTCATAATCAACAGTATCCAAATATCCAGTTAAAATATAATAATTTTCAAAATACGAACTTCATATATAATTTTTTTGGTTGGGAGATCATTAGCACCGATATACCATCGTCTTTGTTAGTACGGAGTCCGATCACGCCCGATTGGCTAGGCGATCTCCCCACGAACAATATAGTTTGACATGTGATGCGAAAGAAAGTTATTACCAAGAGTAGTACCACCATATACGCAATATGGCATCTGATCTCCACCCGATCAGCTAGGCCGCCTTCCCACATATGCCGTGTGGGTTGACTTTTCCAATCCACAAAGGTTCCAGTTTTATCCCAATTAAGAGGAATAATCCCAATCCACCCCTACACCGGCACGTGTAGTTTCAGGTGTGGGCTTTATGACCCACCCTTCCTCGGTTTTGCTAATGATGCTCCCAAAAATATTTTTTTTATTTGATTTGCAAACAGAAATATCATAAAAATAATTGTACTCTCCTCAACATCTTTCACATTGTATAAATTCTCATTAGTATTCTCAGTCATTCACAACGACAATATTTCCTTAGCTCATTAGGCCATTCACAAGATTCTTTATTCCTGGCACGATGGCCGTATTTCATATTCCACACTTTCACCTCTTTCAATTTCAAAGATCATCATCAAGTATCAATATATAGGATATTTTAGAAGTCATATACTTCAAATCCATTTGAAATGGAAACTTCAAATACAAATGATTTCTTCCCAAAGAATGAGGCATACCATCCAACAATAGAAACACACATGAAAATAATAAACAATCAATATACCATTTATTCTTACAATGCTCTTCCCTAGCAATGACAATGTACCAGATCAACACATGAGTATATAGAACTCAAATCACACTAGATATATTTATAAAGCAAAGCATTAGTTAAAACAACCACTAATGAGCATGGATTGAGTACAAAAGCTTTTAGGTAATTCTATCTTCGAAGTCATTTTTAAACAATTGAGTCGAGGCTCATTTCATATTCTTTATCGCATCTTCTCAAATCATTTACACCACTAGACACAATCATAACTTAAATTCTTGGCACGTTGGCCACACTCTATATCCCCAATTAACTTATTTCACTTCCAACCATCTTTATAGATTATCAACAATAAGACATTTCCAAATCAAGACTTTAGGTATACATATGAGCAATTAAAAGTCTTAAGAATATTGAAATTTTCTCACACAATTTGGCATACTATTTTTCATTGAAATACGACTCAAAGCCATAACCTTTTAATATGCAACCCATATTTTGAAACTTACAGAAACATTATGGAATTCAATTCCAAGAGAGAAAGTTTAGCCAACATACCTCAATCGAGCTTCCTTAACTCTAGAATGATCTGGAATTCTTAGCAATCCCGATTTATTTTGAGACATAACAAAATTGAACCATAATTAGGAAGATATTCATGGTCTCAGCTCATTTGAGCATTTTATCAGACACTAGGTGTGCAAATTTAACCACAAGGTTCTTCTACAAGATTTCCTTCACTCCACAACCCAATCCTTACTTATTTCGGCTCAACAATCTTCCCACAATTCTTATTAGTACATGCATGTATAAATAATAATCTCATACCCATGAATCATACTCCTAATCAACCATCTTCTACCCAAATTCGAAATTGAAAACTAGGGTATGGAACCTTACCTCTTAGATGAAGAACTTGTGGGTTTTCCTTGTTAATCTTTCAAGATTTGAGCAAGACTTGATGAATAATTAGCTTAGAGTTTTCTCTCTCTCTAAAACACTCTCCCTTCTCTCTAAAACATCAGAATTTTTGCTCAGAAATGACCCTTTGCGTGTATTTAACGAAGTAGGGTCGGGTTGTAAAAACACAAAAATGGAGCTCCGGAACAGGTTCTGCGGTCGCATATATGACCGCATAATGGATATGCGGACCGCATAATTACAGACCAAAATGATCAAAAATCTGTCTGTGTATGCGGTCACTATGCGGTCTGCATAACTGTTATGCGATCGCATAATGCACCGCATAACAGTTATGCAGTCGCATAGTCGATCGCATAATTGCCCCCAGACTGGCCCTTCTCCTGCTCACTTCTGCGGTCATTATGCGACCCGCAAAGTAGTTATGCGGTCGCATAATGGACCGCAAAAATGTATTTTTCTGCCAAATATTTTCCTTTACTTTCCGCTGCATTGTTCAACCCAAAAATTCCAAGTCGAGGCGAGCTTACAATCCTCAAACACGTAAGCCTAGTCCGGCACCATGAAGTATTATTTTCTTTGCAAATTTTACCGGACTTTACACTTAAATACTTTAAAATTTTTCGGGGTGTTACACCTAGCCATACTATTGATAAATGTTATAGGATTCATGGATTTCCTGCAAATTTTAAGTTCACAAAGCAAAGGAAGTTTCAAGGGAATGTACATGCAAATGTTGTGTTCAACACAAATGAAGAGGGAGTCTAGGGAAATACTAAGGTTCCAGGAATGCAGTCACTTACTCAGGAGTATGTGACACAATTATTGCAGCTTCTACAACAGGTCAACATAGGTCAGCAGGGTGCAGAAACCTCTGATGCTTCTGCAAATCTGAGTTGTGCTGGTATAGCCAAGTTTTTCAATTCCTTTGCCTGTTTCATTCAAATTGATAGTGAATCATGGATATTAGATAGTGGAGCAACTGCGCATATGAATTTTAACATAAATTTTTTTATTAACTATAAAGCCTTGCCTAAACCTATCATGGTCAATCTGCCTAATTCACATAGAGTAAAAGTTGCATATTCAGGTACTATTGCATTGTTACCAAATCTAGTTTTGCACAATGTACTGTATGTGCCTTCCTTTAGATTCAATCTGTTGTTTGTGCACAAGTTGTGCAAACAACTCCAACAATATATTCTTTTCACTCCCAATTCTTATATTTTGCTGCAGGGCCTTTCACTGAAGAGCCCTTTGGAGATTGGTAAGGAGAAAGGAGGCCTCTTCATTCTCAAGTCAAGACTGGGAGCTCCAGTTTTTAAAAGTTTCCCTAAGTCTAGTACTTTTGTACCAAGGCAGAATTTAAATTTTGTTCCAGTTTTTAATTCTTGTTTTGCTTTTTCCGATTCCAATGTAAAAGAGAAGCCGTGGCATTATAGGTTAGGCCATATGCCTTGGAGTAATATGAAGAAAATTTCTAATGTTTCTGTTCCTTCATGTTTTAATCATTCTACTCCTTGTCTTATTTGTCCTATGGCTAGCCAATCCAAGCTCCCTTTTCCTTCAAGCTCTATATCAACCAAAAAGATCTTTGACCTAATCCATGTGGACACTGTGAATACCTAATTTTTGTACTATTTTAACACCTCCTAAAGTCATTAGTGTTTTGTTGCTTTAATTATATTTCCCAATTTTTGTGTCTTTGATTGCATATTTCCTATCATAAAAATACCAAAAAATAGTTCTTTCTTTATTTGTGCATTTTAGGAATTAACTAACTATTCAATTGGTGAATTAATCTAGTTAATTGATCATTTGAATAAGTTACTTAATTAATTTATTTGTTTGTGTAAATTTAGTTTAATAAGTAGGATTAAGAAAGAAATTGGGCCAAATTTGAAAGAGAAAGTGGCCAAAAGTGCAAGATAAGGGGCTGCCTTTGAAAGGGTCCGAAACGACGTAGTTTTGCCTCAAAACTACGTCGTTTCATTAAGTGACCCAAGATCAAATCTCACTCATTGATCACCCATTGATCTAATGGTCCGTATTTGATCTCTAGAGAGGTAATTAAAGCCTCAAAAATCTGAAAAATTCCCTCATTTCACCCATAACTCTTTCTCTCTTCTCTCTCTCTCTTCTCTCTCTTCTCTCCACCGCTGCCGCCGCCGCGGGAAATCACCCACCGGCGGCGGACCACCTCCAAATTAACACCATATAATCTCCACAACCTCCTCTTCCCATATCTCCAAACCAATTCCTTCAAAAAACCCTCAAACTCCTTGAATTTTAGATCTAAGAAA